TATGGGCGGCGGTTTATACAAAAATGCAAAACACGATTAGTCGTCATCGTTATCAGATCAGTCGAAATGAAAACACGATTAGTCGTCGTCGTTATCAGATCAGAAGGCAAAATACGACTAGTAGTCGTCAAAACGCAACTAGTCATCAAAACGCAACTAGTCATCAAAACGCAACTAGTCATCATCAAAACGCAACTAGTCATCATCAAAACGCAACTTGTCATCAAAACGCGATTTGACGCCAGATGGCGCCCATTGTACGAAAATCTAGGCCAAGTCACATGATCCACAGTGATCAAAATGGCGGACGTTATTGAAGCAGCATTATCATATTCCTCGCTCGAACTCGAGAATTATCTCGAGTTCGAGATATTATTATATATATAATATCATTATTAGATTGTACGCGTAGAGATAATTCTCGAGTTCGAGTTGATGACTAGTTGCGTTTTGATGACTAGTTGCGTTTTGATGATGACAAGTTGCGTTTTGATGATGACTAGTTGCGTTTTGATGACTAGTTGCGTTTTGACGACTACTAGTCGTATTTTGCCTTCTGATCTGATAACGACGACGACTAATCGTGTTTTCATTTCGACTGATCTGAGAACGATGACGACTAATCGTGTTTTGCATTTTTGTATAAACCGCCGCCCATACCCAGTCCCACCAATACGCCCCATTTCTATTGATACCATACAAACTCAGCGTGTGTAGGAGTGTGAAAACTAAAGTAGATCAAAAGTTCACGGATAGGATATGCCATGTAAGGATTCATAGGGGAGATAGGTAATCTATTTTGCTTTTTTTTTAATCTGTCGATTTTGAGAAGAAATACAGTGAATCGATGTCTCTCATTGCACTTAGTCAATATAAATTCAAATATGTAAAAAACATCTTTCCTTTATCACATAATTCGTCAGATGATATAAAATACAGCACTTCCCTAGAAAACCTTTACCCCCTCTTGTGAATGCAATGTGCCGTCTGCAGAGCTCAGCGTCTGCTACCACGCTGGATGCTTCGCGGTTCCCGGGAGCTGAACAGTTAACGCGGTCTGAAAAAATTTAGGGAGAGTCAGATGAAACAGAGAGGGACCGTGGCATGTATAAAGTTCCACATGATGAAGCTGGAGATGTGGGCTAGTTTTACTCTTTTCTTTCAAAGTTTGCAATATACTCTGACTTTCAGTACCCGCATGCAACCAAAATATTTTGCTGGTATCTTGATACATCTCCCACTTGTGTCTCCCCCCTAAAACGGTCCACACTAAAAAATCAATAATCGTATGGCAATTTTATACAGGCAATTGACCTACTTTTATACCCATGCAGCTATTGTCGAGTTTTATGGCTATGTAGTGAAAACGTGATACACGTCTGTGATATAAAAGTTATTTCTAATTACATAATTTACAAACGATGCATTTGGAATAAACGTGTCCAGATTTGTGAGCAAAAGATGACATTGCTATTTGAAAATAATGAAGAAATTGGAGACAAGCCAAAATCAGAAAAAATGCATTTTTTCTCTTATATGCAAATTAGGTTCCTTGAAGTAATATAAGACTGGCCGGAAGTGATGTTCATATCAGAGATTTGTATTGATGATGATCTTGATGGCCTTGATGATCTTAATGTTGATTCATAAAATATTTTCAAAGTTTTCAGTTGTCATCTGGTGAGAAAGAAATTTTCTGCACTAACACAATCATTCCACGAGTGAAGAATAAATAATAAACGCGCCTCAGAGATGCGCTGCAGACGTCACGGCTTTTGGGCGAAAATCACACGCGATATTTCCTCATAATCATGATATATAGGATTAAAACTGTGATTGAAAAGGGATATCGGCAAACCATTAAAATCTTGAGAGCATTTCTATTTATTTGTGTTAGACAAGGATGAATTTAATTAGAATACCCCCTCTCTCTCTCTCTCTTATTAAGCGAATATAAAGGAGAAAGCCGAGCGAAAAAATAATGCGCATAACAGTCAAAATATTCAGAAGTAAAAAAATTCAGAGTTAAAAATCTTGTTGGCCACTACAGTTCCTCTTCATAGAGGATCACATGCAAAAATTTAAGGCAACTTGTAGCCAATTGATGTTGTAAAGTAAATGACTTACACCCCATTTCCATAGATTAGATCGACCTACTTTAGATCGACCTAACTCCCTGGGGGTTCACGCTAAATAGCTGTCAGCCGGGCGGACACGAAAGTTAATTACCCTCTTACAGCTTGTAGTAGGCGGGACGGACATTTAAGTCGGATTATCTGAAAGTAATCTAGTGAGACTCCCCGCAGGGATAGATCGATCTAAAATCTATGGGAATAGAGCCTTAGACTTTCACTAACTGCAGATAAAGATTATAACGGAATCAAACAAGTTAAAGGAAAGGGAGTTATTGAGTGTTGTGCCGACAGACAACTCACAACGTAAATAACAACAATATCAACAATCTACACGCAATTATGGTAACGTGCATATCGGTAACGCAGTGGCCAATTAAGAGGTTTCTGAAAAATATATCGCACCAATATTTCCCTCTTGAAATTAGAATTTTGTCTAACCTTTATATATTTTTAATTGGAAAATCTACTTATTGAAATTATTCCATTTTTTTCACAAAAATTAATATTTTTTTCTTAAGAAAATTAAAGTGAAAGGGAAAAGATTAGAGGGAGAAAAAGAGCAACAAATGAACATACATATTTCCCCCCAAAATATCCTTTATTACAGTGAAATAATGAAGAACATACATACAATTGGCATGCATGTACCAAAAACAAAAAGACTTTCACTAGTATCTAAAAATGAAAATCAATATATCTTCATACATAAAGAACAATGCACCACCTCCAAAAGAATTAACAAAATTTCAAGTATGGCATTACAGTATGGACAGACCTCAATTCAAACAAATAAAAAATACAACAATAGAACAATTTTAAATATCTAATTTCCTTGATCTGAAAACAGTAAAGGAACGAATCTGACAAACTACACTGATATAATTTTATTTCCATTTCTTATTCTTTATTTCACAATACACGCTAACAGATTTACCATCATTTTAATATAAACAACTAACAAAATTGTTAAGATGCAGAAAATGTCAAAAGAACGTGTTTACATATGCAACTAAAAAAGCACTCGGAGAGCGCAGACCTCTGCCAAGTCAGCAAAGTCTCCACCCAATGCCATTTCATCCCTAAATTTTCATTCTAAAATGATTAAGTCTTTTACTTTTGATTATTGATTGATTATTGATCCGGATCACCACCAAAAACTATTCATCTGTTCTTTGGCCCATTCTGACAGTTCCTGAAAATTTCATCAAAATCGGCTTTTTGAGTTATGTGGATGACAGACAAACAGGGGTGAAAACATAACCTTTTTGGCGGAGGTAATTAGTTCAATAATGAGACGGTTAACATGCCAAAGAATTGAAAGTAGCATAGGTGACAGCAATGTACGGACATGGCTGAAAATAAAAATCATATTTAAGTGAATGTTGCAATGGTGTGGGACAAATTTTCTTCCAGCCTTCTTAAAGCTTTTATATTTGTACAACATTAATAAAATTTCTATCTGAAGACGTCTATACAAATGTCACATGACATACAATTTAAAGCCAGAAGGAAAAAGCATTATTATGTCTTGTATATTGTAAAATTAAAATTGATCTTTTACCCTTTTCTGAACCAAGACAACAGTTCTTGGAATGTTGAGTACACCAAGGAAGCCAACACAGATGTATTTCTAGGATAATGTATTAAAACAAACTGCAAAATGCTATTTTGGATTTTCATCTGGATTCTTAATTTCAACTCCGCTGTTACATTAATAAGCTGTATCATTTTCCTCACATTTTTAAATACAACAAAAATATCATTATTACGGGTCAGATAATACTTGTCATGGAACTTTTTTGTTGGTTGTATTTGCCTTAGTACTTCTTTTAATTCAGTCCATTAATCCAGTTAATATATGTGCTAACTACTATGTAACAATACAGTCTCATGGTTACGTCTTGCAATCTGTAAAGCCTACAGATTAATCAAGATTTTAAAAATCTGTTAACTGATTTTTTATTGTTAAATTAGCAACAAATAAACCAAATATTGGTATGAGAGTTCTTTGAGGAATATTTTATGTGCAAGCATGTGGGCTAAAGTTTCTGCAAACAGAACATCAGCACAAACACTATATTCAAACAGGAGGACTGACTCTTTAATAGCGTTACATTTTATCTGGAATTATTTAGTAAACAGGAATTCCAATTCTTCATCAGAGTTGGAAAGCTGCACCCATAAAAGAACAAATATATTATATGGGTTTAATATAACACTTCATAATAAAGTTCCATCATAACTACCAACATCTATTCTGCTTTGTGTGAGACATATTTCCTCTCAACACATGGATAAGACAAAGTGCCGCTCTTGGTGCTGTCTTTCACTGCCTGCTTTTTNGTACATAAAAATCTATTAACTGATTTCTTATTGTTAAATTAGCAACAAATAAACCAAATATTGGTATGAGAGTCCTTTGAGGAATATTTTATGTGTAAGCATGTGGGCTAAAGTTTCTGCAAACAGAACATCAGCACAAACACTATATTCAAACAGGAGGACTGACTCTTTAATAGCGTAACATTTTATCTGGAATTATTTAGTAAACAGGAATTCCAATTCTTCATCAGAGTTGGAAAGCTGCACCCATAAAAGAACAAATATATTATATGGGTTTAATATAACACTTCATAATAAAGTTCCATTATAACTACCAACATCTATTCTGCTTTGTGAGAGACATGTTCCTTCTCGAATTTTGCTGCATCTGTGGAATGATCATCAAGAATTTCTATGCTCAAAAAATCTTTGGTCTCATAAATCTCTATTAGTGACTAAAACATCAGTGTTGTAACAGAGTTCCTTATGTGGTATATGGACTGTGATCTCTAATGACTGGTTGTCTAATACTCCATTGGAGTGAGTGGGACTGGTAGTGGTGATGTCCTTTTTTATTTGCATGGATTTAGCAGGTTCTAATCCTGTTTTATTGTCACACACTGGGGTGGAGAAATTGGTTGGTTTGTTGTAGTCTTCGAAATTCTCCATTTTGTTGTACTTTGGTTCCATTGCATCCTACGAGAAAAAAAGATGAACACTTTAGACCAATGAATAAAAAGAAAAATTAAAGTTAATGAAGCATAAAATATTCACAGGCAATTTGTGAAAAAAGACAAAAGAACTAAACAAAACAAGCAAAAAAAAAAAAATAATAATAAAATGATAAATTAATTAATTAATTAAAAAAAGATGAAGCTGTATAATGCTTTTCTGATATATATGCAAAATACTGCATACTTCATAGTTCCGAATCTTCTGTCTATTGTCTCAACCGAGTATCTAAATTAAACCCTCAAATCTTTTACTGATCCCATTTCTATACAACATGTGACTATATACCCCATTCTGTGCCACAGAGATGTCATATACAAAGTCTGGCGTGCTGAAGGCCACAACATTTTCTCCATGGTGAGCCACCGTTCCTGCAGGTGCCCCAGTCTGAACTCGCCCCCACCACTGGAATGCAGGGCCTTGCTCATACTGAAATCATAGCAACAACTATTTCAATATCCAGGGGAATCGTTTGATATCATTACCAAAAGATTAAGATCTGGACTTACAATAAATGTCAAATGAATTACAAATAAATTGCTGTAATGATTATACCTGATGTGCCTTTAAGAAAAATCTGTTTGATATACTGAATACCTTATTTTCTAAGATGTATTTGATATCATCTAAGATGACTTAACAAATTTTCTTTAAAATTCTTTGCGAGAGTGAGAAAGAAAGAGAGAGAGACAGAGAAAGAGAAATCTGACCTTCTTTGCAGAAATAGGAACACAACCTTTATGACCACTAATAGGATGACCACAAGTATAATGGGGACCACAATGACAGTTGTTTCTGAAATAACACATTTCCTGGGAATGTTTCAACTCAGAAAGGGAAATAATTCATCGAGGAAGTAAAATCAAAATGCTGAATCACAAAATGAATAAAATTTATCCAAAACTGAATACTTCCAATTTTACATATGGCTAAATAGTCTTTTCTTGGCAAAATCTAATGTAAACTAAATAATTCTTACAGTACCTTGTATCTGTTGCAGAGGATGCATGACCTTAAGGTCCATGGGCCTGTGAATTGTGTTGACCAGTGATGTCTGGTTAGTGCCTGTGTACTTGTCAGCTTTTTCAATACTCAGATGGTTCCAGTCAGTCCAATATATCCAGTCTTCAAATACAGCAATGGCAAATACCAGTATGTGGGCTATTCTGACTTCTGATATGACCAATTAACTGTTGCTGACATCAAGGTTGGCATACCTGAAATCTAATGTACATGTACATATGTATTAGATTTTACGTCATTTCATATAAATGGAACAAGAAAAACTATATAACCTGCAGCGAACTGTTTATGTCTCAGTTACAAGAAGATCAACTTTACAACCTCCAGACCTGCTTGGCCGTGGTGCAGGTAATAACCTGTGACAGTACCACATACTAAATTTGGTTTCATTTGCCAACTTAAGATGTTCTAAATATAATACATTTTATCAAAAAAAAATTTTTCCAATAATAAAAAATGAGAGTATTCATTGACATTTTCCTATAAAATCAATAACTAAAAGCTGAGACTAACACCCCATTTCCATAGATTAGATCGACCTACTTTAGATCGACCTAACTCCCTGGGGGTTCACGCTAAATAGCTGTCAGCCGGGCGGACACGAAAGTTAATTACCTCTTACAGCTTGTAGTAGGCGGGGACGGACACTTAAGGGGGATTATCTGACAGTAATCTAGTGTAATCTAGATCGATCTAAAGTTGTGGGAATAGACCCTAACTCAATGTAATCCAGATGTGCATCAACCCACCACATCTTCCTGGTGACATAGTCAATTGTCAAAGAATTAGGCCAGTCCAGTTTTTCCATGATCAGAGATGACCAGTTGGTGTCGTCCATTCTCACACCAGCAATGTAAGAGATATGACCCCAGTCTGTCCAGTAAAATATATCTGGAATAAAATGCCTAGCATATCATACATATTTTACATTACTAATATAAATCAGTAAATTAGCAATGTCAAACATGAGTATGCAGTCACTGACTTTATATTGGGCCATTAAAAATTTATTATTATTATCATTATCTACAATTTTACATTTTTTTTTAGTTATTTTTCTTAACCAATTGTGTCATGATCCTATTTATCTTATTTTATGGTTAAAAACAAAACGAGAGGAATTAATCATAACTGAAAATAACCTTGCCCAAAGAATTAATATTAATGGCAGAATATATGGTGAAACCACTTTGATAGAATCACAGTACCATAGTGGAGAAGACTAGAAGATAAAACATGTTATGACAAGCTTACATATGCATCAACAGACATGTACATTGTATATATGCAGTTCTCACCAGAACACACTCTACTATGTTATCCCAAGGTAATGTTTGTTTTCAAGTTTCTCTTACCCTGTAGATAGCAGCCACTGCCCTTGGGTTGGACATCTCAGTGGACAGGAGAGTCTTACCACTGGTGACATTCAACACAGACACAAACATCTGCTCCAGCTGGTAGTCCACCCAGCACAGCTGGTAGTCCACCCAGCACAGCTGGTAGTCCACCCAGTACAGCTTTCTGGAAAATAAGAAATTTGAAAGTGTACTTTCTTTTATGGACAATTCAAACACAAAAATATTCAAATATAACTGAAACTCAGCTTTTTAGAAGGGTCATATCTTTTACTAAATAATTCTTTGGTAAAAAAACTCTATTCCATATAGAACATGTATTAGATCAATAAGACAGGAATGAGACCAGTATACGGTGATAATTCTATGTCAACTTAACTGGATAAACATAAACAAATATCCATCACACACATTAAAAATAAACGATAAGTATCAAGACAAAATTTCCTAATAAACCATGTTTTAAAGGCATCTCAATATACTGTTTATCTAACTCTTGGGGGAATTAAAATAGCGCAAACAACATCACTGTACAACTAGATCACCCAACCTTGGTTTTAAAATACTAAAGAAGTGATAGGGGGTACCTATCTTAACATCAGTAACATCAGTATATGCCTATTACCAGTTATTGTCTTTTGGGGACAATATATTTGGGAAAACTGAAATTTACATTGAAAAGACAGGCAAATCCCAGGACTTAAAATAGTTAACCATTGATAATTTTGTTAAATCTCGTCCAATATATCTGGAATTTGTACAAATGATGCTTAACAACAATAAAAATCTGTGATTAGATGATCTGTTGACTGTGTCTAATGAAAAGTGATTTTTGGGACAACATATTTGGGAAAACTGAAATTTACATTGAAAAGACTGGAAAATCCCAGGACTTAAAATAGATAAATGTTAATAATTTTGTCAAATCTTGTCCAATATTTCTGAAATTTTTACAAATGATGCTTAACAACGATAAAAATCTGTGATAAGATGATCAATATCCCGAATCTTGCCACTTGTCATGTATTGTACACATGGATAAGACAGTGCTGCTCTTGGTGCTGTTTTTCACTGTCTGCTTCTTCATGGTAAGGGTACTCTGGAAAAAGAACAATATAACTGAAAAATCTAAAAAATTACATTGAAAAGACTGGCAAATCCAATAACTTAAAATAGTTGAACGTTAATAATTTTGTCAAATCTAGTCCAATGTTTCTGAAATTTGTCCAAATGATGCTTAACAACAATAAAAATCTGTGATGAGCTGATCAAATGTATGTGTCTAATGGAAAGTATCTTCTTGCGACAATATCTTTGAAAAAACTGAAAATTACACTGATAATTAACACTGGCAAATTCCATGGCTTAAAATAGTTAAATGTTAATAATTTTGCAATGTGAATATAAAATAAAATAGCAAATGTGATAATTTGAGGTTGTTTGTGTAGGAGGTTGCAAATTACCTCCCAGACAGCCTCAGTGATCTGGCCCACGTCTGGCCCAGATCTGGCAACGTCTGGCAATGTCTGGCAAAAGGTATGGCCCAATTATGGCTTGCCACATGTGGGCCAGATGTGGCAATGTTTGGGCCAGATCTGGCCCAGACATTGCCACATCTGGCCCAGTCCACATTTGCTCATATGGCCAGATGTCGGCCCAGATCTGGCAATATCTGGCAAA